CTATTAAGATAGACTATACAAGAGCAAGTCCATATCCTTGGGTTAGTAGCATAGGAACCACTATCTAATACTTTTTTGGAACACGTTTTCCAAGCACTCTTAAATGCTATATGCCAAGATGCTGCATTTCTTGTTTTATAATTTAATTCTAACTATTATATTTTGATGATATATCGTGAAATAAGTCATTCAACGAGAATCCATATTAGCAGATTAACACGTGGTTTATTAAATCTATACAGGTAATTGTGTTTTATAAGTCTCCAGTATGATTCCACTATCATAGTTGTTTTTAATACTGAAATTTCTTTTTTGGCGCTCTGTATCCAATGAGACCATTTTGTTAAGCAATACCACTTGACTCATAAATACGACCACACCTATTGAAGATTATTATTTCTGCAGTATATATATGTTTCTTTAACTACAGCCTCACGAATCTAATCTGCTGAATAAAATGCTTATCAAATGTGGGAATAAAAGGGTGCTGGTTAAAATGCTTGATGATGAGGTCGATAATATACTGTAGTTGTGATGTTCTGGAGGACAAAATATAAATATTACCTTTTTACTTTGTAACCCTGGTCTATATATTTTAGATTGTTGTGAGATAATAACTGGATAAAAGTCAAGAGCAATAAATAAAAACTTAGCATTTGCTTTACTTGCAGAATACTGAATAGTTTTTAGCTCTTTTGTTAATACTAATTGTCTTTTTATTGCCTTTTTTAGATGCCAAAAACAAAGTTGAATTTGGGCTTTGGGCCATACTGCTTTCACCACTGAGATTTGCACCAAATCTTTATCTATTATTATGAATGTCAGGTTAATTCCTTTAGTACGTAGCTTATCAAGAAAATAGGTTATCATCCTTATGCGAGCTCCATTATTAATTGCAGTTGTTGTAGTCAATAGTATATAAGCTAATAGAAAGCCTATTCTGTTCATTTCGACAAGTACTAAATATATCTCGAGGTTCATCTTATTAGTATTATCTAAATTATCCAAATAATAAAATTTTTTTTTAAATTTATTTAGTATTTACCAGAGGTGAAATTCACCATGATATGCTTTTAATTATTATTATATAGTCAATAGAAAATTTTACCACAAATTTTAAAACTAAAATTAAACTTTAGAGTAGGGTCTAAGGCTTAAATTAAAGTAAAAATTAGGGTTTTTAGGGTGCTAGACACTTTTATTTAGTATACTAAATACCCCGATTATCAAAGCCATTTTTTGAGAAACAACATATCTGGTAAAATTCATCTCTGGTAAGTGTTAAAATTATCTTTTTTTTTTATACTAAATTAGAAAAAATTTATTATCGAAATATATACAGGTTGTGTCTATACCAATTTTACTTGTATTTATTCCTAAGCAATTTATTATTTCTGTAATTCCAAAACTAATCAAAGTAACTTTACTATCTACTATATGTAGCATTATTTCAATATTCTTATAATTATTGATAATTTTAATAGCTGATTCGATTTGGTTTTCGTCTTTCTTCCAAATACTCTGACTAAAATTCATCTACAACCGGTATATCTGCTTCTTGGTAATGTTTAAATTTTTTGTACAAATGCTTTCCCATAAAATTCGTGGTGTTTGTTGAATATTATTTTTAATATATTCTTTTATTTTATCTGTAATACAAACATCAATATATCCGGGATAATAATCATGAATTAACTCAACTGTTGCTTGATTTTTATTTGTATCTATAGTAAGCATTAACCAGCCTCTGCAGTGAAACTATTCTATTAGTAAATAATCTCTATGTTTTGTAGGATCTTTATACTTTTTCAGTTTCTTCTGTCAGTCAAGTAACTATGCACAGTGGTATCTGAATGCCATAATATGATTTGATTTCAAAGAAATCTTGTTTTTGTAACTTTAAAAAGGTTAACTTTGCTTTATGTAACATATTTTTATTATATCTTACTTGAATTTAAAGCTTGTAATTTCCAGGATATTATTAACAATATGTGTTGTAATTTCTTTTGGGTTGATTTGAATAAATTCATTAATATCAATAACTTGTTCAAAATTCTCTATATTTTGATCCTTCATGGCCTTCAGAATGACAAAAAATTCTTCTATTGAAATACAATTGGTGTTCGTATTAGCAATTACATATTTTTGTGCATTTTGTTTGTTTTTTTTTCTTTACATTTTAAACAAGTTTTACTGATTTTATTATTTTTAAAAAAAAACTATAAAGGATGAAATTGATTACAGCCTTTACAAAACCGCTGTTCAATAGTAGAAGTGTTTTCCATAATAATAAGGTGTAATCAGTATCGAAATGAGCTAAAATAGCAAATATACTTTAAAATTTAATGAGTCTTGTAGTATTTTTTTTCTTTAGAATAATTTCCACTAATTGATACTAAGTTTTTAGGTTTAATGTTATTAAGTTTAATTACAAAATATTGTTGTCTTTTTATACAACCAAAATATGTGATGTTGGGTACTTTTTTCATAAGATTTTGGGTGTTCCAATTGGTTTTACTTTTATTTTCTATTTGAAATTATCACTTTATTCTTTTTAATATTTTTAACACAGAAATTTTATGCTATTCTTGGGTGAGTATAGTTACGTTTCTCACTACAATACAATTTTTCAGGTTTGGATTAAAATCTCAACAAGCGAAATCCTGACAGGTTATAATCCTGACAAAAAAATTCTGATAGCAAAAATCCCAACAGCTAAAAATCTGACAATTAAAAATCCTGACAATAAAAAATTCTGATGAAAAATATTATAAGCCATAGCTAACCCTAGCCTAATCCTTATCTAAAGTGATCTAATCCTAAAGATAATTAAATTATAAGAGGCTACTTTGCTTTAAACATACTCTATATTTAGGATTTTTTACTTAAAAATTCTGACTATCAGGACTTTTAATTGTCAGGATTTTGACTGCCGGGATTTTTTTTTGAGATTATGACCTGTCAAGCAAGAACACAGAATTTATGTGATTTAGTGTGATTTAAATTCGTTGATAGCTATCAAGTAATTAGTAATTGTGATTTGATGCAGTTTGTAAAAATCATACTAAAAAATATCACATAATTTCTGTATTCCTGCTGTTCAAGATTATACTTGTCAGGATTTAACCAGCACCTGATTTTTTCAAATCTGGTTATATGTATTTTGTCTTTGAATTTAGATTTTGCTAAATTTACATATTTAGGTTTTCAAAATTAACAAAAAATTACACATTTTATAAATTAAGTTTAATTTTTTAATTTTAATTTTGAGACCTTGTTAAGATTATATTTTAATATGTCTTAGTTCTTTTCAAATAGTAATATTTACTACAACTAAAATCACATTTGATCACTATAGACCTTTCTAAATTTAATTACAAATATTTATTTTTTGCAATTCTAGTCATGATGCATATTTATATGAGTTTTACACTTATAGGCAATTATTGATATATTATAATTATCAACAACTATATTGTTTTACCTTAATATTTGGTAAGAATTGGTTTTAAATTACTAATAAACAACAGATCACATGAATTATTTAATAATTTAATTAGTTTACATTTTTTTATATATAATAAATAAGGCTAATAAGGCTGTGGTGACTTAGTGAAGTGATGAAGTTGTTGCACCCCCAAGCGGTTAAGTACAAGTTCAATTTCTACTGGAGACAAAAATTGAATTTCAAAAAACAAATTTGGCAAGTATTATCATGGCTGGGAAAACTCAAGACCCTGCAACTGTGGTCGTACCAATTCATCGAAACTGAAAGATCTTAGGGCCTTTGTATGACATATAAGTTACACAAATGATCTTTGGATCACAGAAAGCCACAGAGCTGATACAGTGGTATGGCGCTCGCTTGGCAAGTCCTGAATAGAGAGGTAATACAGATCTTTGATGGTACTACGTAAAAGATCATTATCGGAGGAACTGGTAAAACTGAACGAGACTAAAGTGTTTGGCAAGGCACTTCATCAACCAGGCCACCGGAGGAGTAACCCAACCGTGGAGACCAGGGGCAGGTCACAGCTCTTCTGAGCCATCTGAATTGGTAGTTTAAGATAATCAGGGATACTGTAGACAGTCTGTAACGTGTGTACTAGGGTTTGGAGTAAACTCTATAAGAGCAGAAATATGTTGTATAGCGGTGACCAGGCCATAGTACCCAATATGGAAACTGGAATACAAATAGCGGGCCTCGGTCTGTGCGTATCAACCAAAGACTAGGTCAGCTAGATTGTGGGTATGGAAGGCTCTAGCAGGTTTACCTCTGAGAATAAAGGGCTCTTGGAGGCAAGGAGCCTGCTTTAAAGTTCTAAGTCGGTATTCGAAACTAAGGGTTTCCAAATTAGATTATCGCTCGATTATCAGATATAATCACATAGACGCAAAGAGTTTAAATAGATAACCCCTAGTTGGGTTATAGGTATGACATCTAGTATAAAACTTAGTAATAAGCAGACTACTTAAATAGGCAACCAAAAGTTGCATGTGTGACTAGTTGTACTCTCCAAATATATATATGGGATATGAAAATCACATACTATAAAATTATAACTATAATCGAATAAAGGTACGTGACCAAGAAGTCACCTTAATATCAAAAAAATAAAATAAATAAGGCTAATGAAATATATAATTATGAAAGCACGAACTATATTTTCATATATATATAAATGTAAAAGAAAAAAAAAGCGAAAATAAATTATTCAAATATTAAAAGCAAAATTATCAATAATATAAGATGAAAAAGGTGTGGCAATATAGAGTAGTGGTTAAGTTGTCACTCCCAAGCGGCAGGTCTAAAGTTTGATTCCCACCGGAGACGTTTTTCGAAAAAATAGACCTGTGTTCTGGTAACATTTATTTGACAATCAGTTGGGTATATCACCTGTAACCTTGGTACCACTATCTCATTATAAAAGCTTTAAGACAATCCAAATCTAAAGAACCGGAATATTTGAAACCCATTTGGCAAGACCCGAGCTAGGAGTAATGAAGATCTTTGACGATACTACAGAAAATCAGAACCGGTGACCGAAGAACTAGATGAACAATTCTGGGCAAGAAGAGTTCACCAACCTGGCCGCCAGAGTCGTATCGGAGGAAAAGGTCTGATACTACAGAATTTAGGACCAAGAGAAGTAAAACCAGAAGGCACTTAGAGCCTAGATATAACAACCCTTCCGGGCTAACTGGTTTGGTAGTTGAAGAGGGATCAGGATGAGAGCTAGTTAGAAGTGGGTATTGAGATTGGAATGAAGCTTGTAAGGGCAAGGAGTAGATATGGTAGTGATGCAGAAGATCGCAAGTTCTAGTTCTTGGATTGGGGTATAAGTACTGAAAAATCCAGGTGATACATGTGTGGGATATGGACTACTCTGGTAGGTTTACCATGAGAATAAAGTAGTCCTAAAGGGTCTTAGCGGCAGGTACTCTTCTAGAGAAAGTATCCAACAGCATTAAGTCGATTAGAAGGTTTAAATAGAAGATCTACAAGCGGATCTTAGATATGGCAATTGGTGGGTAACAATAGATAGAAATAGATATAGCAGAGCCCTTAATTAGACAATAACTAAAGTTGTACATATGTCCAATTGTACTCTCGTTGATGTAACAAAGTCAAAGGGTGCTTACTAAGTATCCCAATAATTGAACTGAGAAGTTAATAAATCGTGCCAGACCCCCAAGTGGTCATTTTAATATTTAAAAAAAAAAAAGTATTAGATAGTGGTTCCTATGCTACTAACCCAAGGATATGGACTTGCTCTTGTATAGTCTATCTTAATAG